ACAAGCTGACTGCGCTTCTTCAAGCACTTGTTTGTCTCTCAACATCTGCATTCGTGTTTCCTGATTCTCTTCCTGCAGTTTCTTCCAAGCAGCAGCACACACCCACATTTTGTGCTGTAGTCCAGTCACCGGCATTTTCTTTTTAACCTCTATGACCCGCAAAGCGGTAAAAACATCATCTGAGTTCTCTGCTTTTAATGAATCATTCCAAGGTTCGGGGCGTCCCCCTCCATCTCGCAAACACAATGCTACTGACTGAAACAGGGGCTTATCCCACCCTGGCATAACCTCTTCAACTTTAGCCTCATCATCTTTACTCTTTTTATTCTTTGTTTTAAACATTGTACAGCTCTTCTTTCTTATTCTGTTCGTGACGCCAAGAAAAATGTTCTGTGAAATCCCTTTAAATAAATTGTAGGATAAGAGAAGAGTCAGCACAATGAATAAAAGTCAGAGACTGTCCTGCTGGAAATAATATGTGTCATTTATTAATCTGCCACAGATAACAGCCAAGCAAAAACATACATGTACATTCAGTACAACACAAAGTAATGATGTAATGCTCCTCACCGTGACACTTAGATCGGAGAGCCTGTACGATCCTGATAAAGGCAGACATCAAAACAGCTGGGCGTTGCGATCGAAAACCCCAGCAGACTCTGTCTTTACTCTGAGTGTTACATCTTTTATACCTTCAAACCTCTGGATCGCGTGCGAGCAGAGCAAAACATGTTTATTGGTTTACCAAGATAGTTGTGCAACAGAACAATAACTCACAAAAACATGTTTTGCAGAACCAAGGCTGTGGTATGCAAGCCTGATGGAGAAAAGCATGCTTTTCAGGAAACTCTGGGCATTGTATCTGCAAAACGGGCCAAGTTTCACAGTCAGAACTCCTACAGAGGTTTCCTCTTGAGTACATCTCTTCTGCAGCACAAGTTCCTAGTTAATTACAAATAAGTTGAGTATAAATTGACATAAAAGCATAAAAATAATTACTATATCAAACGGTCTGTCCATGATCGCCTTGTTGAAAACTGACAGGTCCAAAATGGGTCTCGTTCCTCTGGTCCATTTGGGAACCAGGAAGTAACTTGAGTAAAACCCTGTGTTTTCCTCTCCGTTGGGAACTCTGGAGATTACCTCTTTTATCAGAAGTTCCTGGACTTCTGCATTTAGGGATGAGCTTTGGTCTGGTGATGACAGGACCGTCTCTAAAATTCCTCCGAACGGAGGGGGTCAGGTTGCAAATTGCAACGTGTAACCCTTGCTTAACACCCTGGCCATCCATCTGTCTGGCGAGCATGTTTTTAGCCATACCGCGTAACGTTTGTGGAGTGGACGCACGTTTAAGTGATGCGTCATGTTATGTACGGATGTCATCCAGTCCGCCACCTAGACCGCCGTCATGTGTCGCGGGGATGTTTTCCGCGTGACCCAAGGCGAGGCTTCCTCGAAAGAGCTTTGAACGCGCCTGTGTGCTGCGTTCGGATCGTGTTGAGGGGAAGCATGTGGCAGCTGATGACGCCGTGGGGCCGCGCATTTGACGCCACTGCGGTGAAACACGTGTCGCTCCTGCCGCGAGTGATGTCCTGCGCTGGGTTCGCTTTGAGATCTCGCATCTATGCCGCCATGAGCAGGCGAGTGCTGCGAAGCGGTGAGTGCGACTTCATCTACGCCGTGCCGTTTGAGTGAAGACTGCGAGCCCTGCGGGAGCACACGTTTTCTCTGGTGGGACGCGCGCTGCTCTCGCTGGAAGCGAGGTTCGTCACTGGGTTCGCTCAGCTGTCTCACGCTTATGCTGCCGTGAGTGGCCGAGCGCTGAGACGCGGTGGATGAAGGCTGCCCGCGCCGCGGCGGCACGCATTTGCTTCGATGTGGCACGTGTTGCTCTCACTGAGAGCGAGGTCCTACACCGACCCAACCTGCGGTCCCACATTTATGCCGATGTGGGCCGGTGAGTGCCGGGGAGCTGTGTGCGCACTATCATCAATGCAACGCCGTTTGGGTGAAGGCTGTTTGCGTCGCACGAGTGCGCGTTTGACACCGCTTGGGTGAGGATCGTGCAGCTCGGGTTGACAACGAGTTATTTCACTTACCATTGTGTCATGTGAGCGTCTCGTCATGTCTTGGAGCAACAGTGAGTTTAAAAAACCCTTATTTAAGGACACCATCTCGTTATGTGTGGAGGGTGTGTGCACAGCCGCTGTGAGTCCATCCGAGCTTACAGACTGGCTAGAAACAGACACTTTGATCATTGAATGATGTTTTATTCAACATTTGTGTCATATTTACACACACCCTCCACAGACCATCATTTTGAATCTTTTCCCCCATGAGCTCTGGGATTTGTTGGCCCAGGGCGCTGTCTGCTGGGGATCTCTGGGAAAAACGTTGGGACACTCTGTTGCCGGGATGACGAGGGCCGGTCTCTGACGGATGGGTCTGAAGCTCAGCGAGACGGCCGTGGAATCGTCTTGCCACTGGCTCATTTCATGTGGAGGGTGTGAGAGAGAGCCACTGTCAGATCATCTGAGCTGACAGACTGGCTAAAAATAGACAGTTTCATCATTAAATGATGTGTTACTCCAAACTCGTGTCACCTTACACACATTCTCGCCAAAACCCGTCATTTGCTCTGCCATTAGTTGTCCTAGAGCGCCATCTGTTGGCGGTCTCAGGGAAACACTGAAAACTCCGTCCTCCGGCTGCGATGCGGGCCGGCAGGCAGCAAAGAGGCGCACCTGTTGGGGATGACGTCAGCTGCCCTGCAAACGGAGCGTTTGTCCCCTCCCGCCTCTGAACGTGTATGCTAACAGCGTAACGTGTTGTTCGCTGCGGCCGTCTGGAACGCATGCTGGTGTGCTCAGTCGGAGATTGGTGTCACTGTCTGGGTTACGCTAACCGGAGGCGCGGGACGCTGGTCCACCTGGACATCTTGCTCCTAGAAAAGCCTCCGTCAGGCTCGGCTCCAGGGGGCACTGAGGGAAAAACCGCTCGGTGAAAACCCCTCTGCTCTGGTGAAGGGCGCAGGCTGTGGAGACCGGCCCCCCAATCTACCAGGAAAGCCGGCTGTGGCCTCGTCCCGTAGGACGTCATGTTGGGAAAACGAGGCCAGATGGGGTCAGGACGGTGAGCCGGAAAGGAGCCTAGAAAAAAACCCTCCTGCCGGATCATCCGAACTGGCGGGAAAGGTGCAGGACGTAAAAAAGGGTCCCTTCATGTCAGCCACTCCTGGGTTACGCGGGCTACCCCAGAGGGTGCCGTCGGCCGGAAGCGGTGTGATCGCCGATGCGAAACGAGGTGGGATGAGGTGAGCATTCGCTCAGCCCCCCTCCACCGGCACTACGCACTCAAGGAGGGAATGAGCAGCGAGGGGCTGCTGCTGACGCTGCCCGTCCCGGAGGAACCATCCGATTCACTCCGAGGGTCGGCAATAAGAGGAAAATTACAAGATGGCGTTGTCCAACGTGTAGCGACCTGTCACTGAGAAATACTCCTCGGCGCTTACTTTGAAACAAGACTGCACGTCAGCTTCTCCTCGGGGAGGAGAGCTCACCGGGACGACCGGAGGTCGACGTGACGGGCAAGCATTCTTAACAAAGGTTGGTCATCTACACAACTTTCCTTCTTCGTTCTTCTGACAGTGCTATTAGCTCGCTGAAGAAAAATGGGAGCCAATTACCCGCTCTTAACGTAATTTATACGGACCGGGTGGGGCCCACACAGCAGGTGGGCGTGGACTAAATTTTTCAGTGTAATGCTTCGCATAACGGGATAAACCCATCAGCGACAGCCTTAACTTATTTGTAATACACTTTAAAGTATTTACATAACTAGTAGGTTCGTCTTTAAACCAAATCCAATATAGCAGTTAAATAATAAAAAAATATATATAAAACAGATTACTTCACATCTTTTACACATACCGTTTCTCGTATTTTTGTTTAAATGAAAATAAAAAATAGAAATGTTCATCTGTCCTTTTGCCAAAACAAAGATAATAAATTTAAACATAAATGTAATCAAAATAGTCTTATTTTCAGTCTCTGAATGTATAATTCACTTAGATGAATAGTCTACACACGCACACACATCATGCACTAACGTCTGCCTCGTGGTGAGACATCGACGGTAGACTGAGCGATGCTAATTAGCATAAAACAACATTTTAAATCACAGTCCTAAACATCAACCATTTAATGAAAACCACTCGACCTTTAGATGAAAATACTCAAAAACACAACAGAAAATGTTTAATAAATGTTTTAAACACAAAAATTATTTAATTACCTGAAAGAAGAGAGAGTGAAAGATACTCGACACGTTGCTAGAGCTCCCCCTCCTTCAAGCCCCGCAGCCATGACTAATCAATCACAGACCATCAGAACTCAACAAGTTGATCACAGATAGATAACTCTAAACAGGAAAGTCCTTACAGAAAGTTATTTTAAACATTTTTAACAATGAGTTTGTATTTTATATCACAGCTGTTCATTAATAGTTGATGCAACTATTATTTTTAAATAAATTTCAATGTATCACAGTTGCAGTCTCCCATCCTGAGCAAGCACAGTGGCAACAGCGGAAAGGAAAAAGTCCCTTTTAAAAGGAAGAAACCTCCAGCAGAACCAGGCTCAGGACAAGCGGCCATCGGCTTTGACCGACTGACATCTAAAGAGCTAAATTCAAGATTAAAATAGATCTGTAAGTTTAACACAAAAATTATTTACTTTCCATTTGCATAGTTGTTTGAAAAATAATTAATCATAAAATCAATTTTTGCATAATTTTATTTTTACATATTTTATTTGTGATTAAACGTCTTTTGACTTAACATCGACCAACTTCTCTCTCCATGTGAGCCTTTGAGCTGCTCCATTCTGGAGTGTTTCTGCTCAGCTAATGATTAAGAATAATAAAAAAAAGGAAGGCAGGCTTTATTACCCGCAGAGTCACTTACATCACTGTCAAGCTCTGCGTTGAGTTTGGGCCCAGACAAGCAGAGATGACACAGGGGGCAGACATGGACCAGCAGCCCAGCAGACCCACATGGAGCAGGCAAATAGAGTTCACCCTGGCTGGCATTGGCTGCGCTGTGGGTCTGGGCAACGTCTGGAGGTTCCCTTATCTCTGCTACAGGAGTGGAGGAGGTGAGAGACCGAGCGTCAGACTTATGCAGAAAAACCACCTTTTCTACCCACTCTTCATTCAGTATGTGTTTTGACAGTGGGTGAAAAGGTTAATAATGTGTTAATAACCTAAAACAACTTGTTCTGTACCATCACTGACTGCGTGAGAGTACTTTCAGGTAAGGTGTGCAATAGATCAATGAGCGTGTGTCATAAACAAACCTAATGGTGCAGTAAAACGGACAGTTTGTAGAAATACTTCACCTCTCTTTAACAGAAGTTAAAGATTAGAGAGCGCAAAGTCTTTACCTTCTTCCATTATGTAAGGGTCGATTCACCCTGTTTCTGCCAGGGGCCTTCCTGGTGCCATACCTGCTCATGCTGGTGGTGTTGGGGATCCCATTGCTCTACATGGAGCTGACTGTGGGGCAGTACACCAGGAGGGGGCCTGTTCACGCTCTGGCTATTGTTTGCCCACTGTTAAAAGGTACTATCGCCCACATTTTCCCCCCACTCAACAGCCATACTGAAAAATGACAAGTGGTTTGGTCTGATCTCAGGTGTGGGCATGGCGTCAGTGGCCATCTCCTTCATCATGTGCACCTACTACAACCTCGTCATCACCTGGGCCCTCTACTACCTCTTCAACTCCTTCCAGGCCCCCCTTCCATGGCAGAGCTGCAACAACACCTGGAACACACCGAACTGCACCGACCACGCCACCAACAACAGCTACTCATCCACAGCCAGCCAGGAGTTCTTCAAGTAGGTTTTAGTATGCGGGAACATCCATCCATACATTATCTTTACCCGCTTCTTCCTTTTCGGGTCGCGGGGGTCACTGTGCGAGAGGTCAACACTCTGGACAGGTCGCAAGTCCATCACAGGGGCGGGAACAATAATAATTAATTAATCATTCTTTTAATGATCAAACTAGACTGAATAATGATTAGTTTACGACAGTGTTGCTTACTAACCTGTGGCTCCTGGAACAACTGAAAGCAAAAGATAGCAGCAGCTGTAATAAAACAGGAAAGACTACTAAATCTTACAACCAATCAAAAAAATCAGCTGAGGGCTATATCAGTCAAAATAAAGGTCACGGATAAGAGGCTAGTAAATAAAACATCTTGAGGAAGTATTACGTGACGGTGGCACGTTTTAACATTTTGTTCCAGTATTATTTAAAACTGATGTGTTTAAATGTTTTATGCAGGCATCCGTTCCAGAACTTGATATACCTGAAAAACTAGATACTATTTTCTTAAAGCCAAAAAGAAAAGAAAACTGTCTTTGATATAATGGAGTCTAGTTTTTCATACTCAGTTTGAACAAACAGATTTATGAAAACAAGGTGAAACTGTTTCTTTTTATCTGTGGACAATAAAGATAGACCTCACGGTTTCATGTTTACTCATTTACGTGTTTCACCATATCCATCCATTCACTTCTGTCATGATCCGTGTCTTTTGTGTTTTTATTCTTTTAGTATTTCTGTGATTCGGTTCTTGTTTTACTTGTTTCAAGGATTGAAAGTTCTTTATTTGTCATACACACCACATGTGGTACATGTGATGGAACAAAATTGTGTGCACAGGATCCCAGTTACATCCAACAAAAGTATAAAATGTACAAAAAAAACCAGTAATAAGATCTAAGATATGAACTAAGAAAGACGTTAACTAAAAATACCCTAAGCACTAGTAGTATAAAACCACTAAAAACAACAAGCTGAACAGCAGCACAAACATGAGTCTGTGTGAGCAGATGAGCACGCATGAACACAGCAACATGAAACAGATCAGCAGCAACATGAAACGGATCAGCAGCAACATGATGTGATTTTTCACAGTGATTATCCTGGTTAGAGAGTCATGAGTCTAACAGCCTCAGGGTGGAAGCTGTTCCTCAGTCTAGTGGTTCTACACTTAATGCTCCTCAACCTCCTTCCTGAGGGGAGCGGGGCAAAAAGTTTGTGTGCTGGGTGAGTGGGGTCCTCCATGATGCAGGTGGCCCTCTTCCTGCATCTGGAGGTGTAGATGTCTGTGATGGTGGGGAGGCTGACTCCAACAGACTTCTGTACAACCTTCACCACTCTCTGCAAAGCTTTACTTTCTGCAGCTGTGCAGTCTCCATGCCACACATTGATGCTGGAGCACAGGATGCTCTCCACTGCACACCTGTAGAAGGAGGTGAGGACTGAGCTTCCAGACCAGCTCGTCTCAGCCGTCTGAGGAAGTAGAGTCTCTGATGAGCTTTCTTGATCAAGCTGGTGGTGTTGTTGCTCCAGCTGAGGTTGTCATTCATGTGTACACCCAAGTACTTGTAGCTGGAGACCACTTCCACCGCAGATCATCTTATGTTTGAGGGTGGGTAGGTGTGTTTGTTCCTTCTGAAGTCCACGACCATCTACTTCGTCTTCTTAACATTGATGTGAAGGTTGTTCTTCCTGCACCAGCTCTCCAGGTGTTCCACCTCCTGCCTGTAGCTGAACTCATCATTGTTTGTGATACATCCCACCACCGCTGTATCATCTGCAAACTTTACAATATGACAGCCTGGATGGGTAGCTGCACAGTCATATGTGAGCAGAGTGAACAGGAGGGGGCTCAGCACACAGCCCCGAGGAGAGCCAGTGCTGAGGGTTATGGTGGAGGAAGAGAAATTGTGGATCCTCACTGACTGAGGTCTGTTTGTTAACAAGTCTAGGACCCAGTTGCAAATGGAGGGGCTTAGTCCTAGTGTAACTAGTTTGTCCATCAGGGTTTGGGGTATGTAGAGGAACATATATCTGTGATATATTCATAAACTAAACGGATTCTTTCATTTTTCTGGACTGAATAATATCGTGCATTGAATAATTAAATGTAACGTGAGATGTTAATTTTCTTTGACCCATCAAATGAATGTGGTCATTTATTAACAGAATCAAAGTTTAACATCAAACATTTACATTAATTTGGCAAATTGATTTCAACAACAACATAATTAATTAGCAAACTTTACAATTAGGAAACCATACGGC